CTATTCAATCAATTTGAAGTTCTGACATCTACAGCAGATAAAGTTGAATGCTTTGCTGAGAAATTCTCTCCCAATTTCACACTTGACTCAACTGGAGTACCCACATCTGATTTCCCTTCTAGAACAGAAGCTATACTAAGGGAAATGTGCATAACCCTGTCACTGGACTCAGACAGTATTTCTAAGACTCCCATAAAAGATGACAGGATCCCAGCCATCCTCCTAAAGAAATGTGCTCCTGAGCTGGCTCCAGCTCTTTCCAAACTCTACAACTTTGCCTCACAGCTTCCTGCTTTCCTGCTTCTTGGAAGTCATCCTTTAATGTTCCTGTGTTTAAGAACTCTGGAGAACCTCCTAACCCTCTAATTATAACCCTATTAGTCTCCTACTGCTTTTTGGCAAAGTATTCAAGGCTTTAATCAATGCTGAAGTGGTTAAGCATCTTGCTTGTCATGACCTACTCTCTGACAAACAATATGGCTTCCACTTTTCCAGGTCTATCACTGATATTCTAACAGCCATCACTGAATATGCATATCAAGCTCTTGATAATAACAGTGAAGTTGGAGCTGTGGCTCTAGGTATCTCAAAGGGGTTTGACAGGGTTTGCTGCTCTTCTATGTAAGCTTCAGTGCTAAGGTATTACAGGATGATTGTTTGATTTAATCCAGTCATTCCTATCAAATTGTGAAATGAAGGTCATTTTGAATGGGCTCACTTCCAGATCCTTTCACATGAATACAGGTGACGCCAAGGCTCTATCCTGGATCCTACACTGTTTATGATTTTCATCAATGATCTTCCTGATGTCATCAGTTCCCAAGTAGGCATTTATGCAGATGACACTACCATTTACTCCTATCTCAGTAGCAAATACTTCAACTTAGTCAACCTGGCCACTGCTCTTGAAAAGGACCTTCAATCTATGGTTGATTGAGGAAGGAAATGGCTCATAAATTTAAATGCCTCTAAAATGAAACTGCTCTCATTTAACCACCATAGAGAAAGTTTCCTGCCTACCATCAGCATGGCTGATGCTAGACTCAATGGAGCAACACACTGCACCTTCTTGGCCTCACATTTTCAACTGACTTGAAGTGGAACGATTACATCAGATCAATAGCTGCATCTACTGAAAGGAAAGTTGGGTTAATGTGTCATGCCAAAAGGTTTTTCTCATCAGAGTCCATCTTGCACATTTACAAATCTACCATTCATCCATGCATCAAATACTGTTGCCATATCTGGTCTGGTGCTCCTGCTGTTTATCTCGAGGTTTTTGACAAAATCCAAAGAAATATCTGCAATGTAATCCTGACTTGGCATTTTGATTTCACCCACTTTCCCAAAACCATAGTATGGCTTCCCTCTGTCTTTTCTATAAATATTCTCATGGCATCTGCTCTGACAAGCTTTTTCTCTGCTACCCTGAATACATGAATTTAAGTGTGTTACTAGATTGGCATCTCAATCTCACCATTTTACTGTTGAATTAGGTAAATGTAACTGACACATCTACTTCAAACAGCTCTTTTCTCACACTTCCAGCCTGTGGAACTCCTGTCTGTTTCCTTTCTTCCCTGATAACCACAATCTTAAAAAATTTAAAAGAAACATCAGTTGCCATCTTCTATCTTCTTGAACCCTGTTCAGCTTTTATCCTTTCCTCTGTCCCCTCTATAACCAGTCTTTTCTCTCTCTTTAACTCTCTGTAACCCCCTGTGTAAAGGTGGCATTCCCACCTGGCTTGGGGTGAAATGATTAAAAAAAAATGCTTTGAATATTGCTACCAAATAAAGTCTGGTGCTCCTGATATTTATTTAGAGATCCTTGGTAAAATCCCCAAGAGAATCTGCTAATTCATTAGTCCTGACCTGGCATCTCGGCTTCAGTCACTTTCTCACTTCTGTAACATATTTTCAAGTGCATGCAATATGCAGAGATATGAGTAGATAGCACCTTTACATTTAGATTTGATGTTAAAAATTGACTTGTTGACAATTACTTAATTTATAATAAAAAGGCAAAAAATTAACTGCACATTTATATTACAATATAATGTATTCCAGTTGCAAAAGAATTAACAGCTTTTTAAAATATTTCAAAGTTTCATCATTTTACAGTTGAAATTGCAAGATGTAAGTTCTATGCTAGTAGTTTCTTTTATCAAACTTTTCACTTGTGGAACTCTTTTCCAGTTTAATGCTTTTTAATTAAGTTTGATCTTCAAAAATTTAAATGCCGTATTAATTGTTATCTTCTGTCTCCTTAATTCCTTTCTTGCCTTGTTTGGGGTGAAATGATTAAAAAAAATAATTCTTCCAATAGGCAATTTTACTCTTTATTCTCAAGGTAGGTTTCTGAAGTTAATAGTCATTTAATTTTTCTGTTTTTCCTGGGTGTAAATTTTTGTTCTTTGCCATAAACTTTCCGTTTTTCCTATATTTCATGTCTCACCGTGTCTATCTTTTCTTGTCAGTACAAAAATCTTTTCTAGTCTTTCCAATAAAAACCTTTTCTTTGCCTCTTTCTCTGACAAAGTAAAAAAAAAAGAAAAGGATTTTTTTTTTTTTTAAATCTCAAGTTCTTTTTGCTTTTTTTGCTTTCAGTCATGAAAATTCTCTTTTTGTATTCTTTAGTCTAAACATTCTTTTATTTTTTTTTCTATTCTGCTTTTTCCCAATTAAACTAAAGACTTTTGACTGCACCTGTGCATATCAGGTGAATTCTACATTCTTATCAGCCAGCTGTTCTTCAATTTCTGTTGGATAATCCACCAGTGAAATCAATCTAACATAGATAAGTAAAAACAATTATATTATATATATATTATACATCTAATTTTTCACATAGAATCATTTTTTTTTTTTCAAATTTTCCCTATTTTGAATAAGCTAGTTAAAGTATCATCCATCAATAAAAAGGAAAAGTTAATTTTCTTCTTTAAAAATTAATTTCCTTCTAAACCAAACATACTCAGATTTTATTGAGTGTGTCATTATATAATGAAAATGCATATTATTATATATTATTGCCAAACACTGCAACATCAAAACGCTGTAACCAAACATAGGAATATGTACCAGATATGTCACCAAACAAATCGACCTTTTAATCTTAAAACAGACCCCCAAAATAGAGGACTATCTTATACTCCAGGAATAAAATGCAAATCTAAAATCCTCAAATTAATGTAAGTTATTAGCATGGGAGATTTTTGATGGTTTGCTAACCCCAACCTTGCTAATTATCGACACAAAGATTTTTTACTGAAACAACTTAATTCACATTATTATAATAAGATAATAAAAGTGTAGAGTAATAAAAGTATACTTACCTTATATAATATGTGTCATGATTGCATGACAACAGCAAAATGCATATTTGTCAAGGGAGAGATCTAAAACCATCTCTCCATCATTTTTTCATATGAATGAAAACAAAGAATATACTTACTGAATTTATTTAATAAATTCAATACGATACATTTTAAAATATGATTTGGGTGTGGTGGAGGCAACCTGCAAACTATATTTAACTTGAAAATTTGGGGTCATCTTATACACCCAGTTAACTTAGATGCCAATATATATAGTATCTGTGCTAAAATAATTACTGTTAAACATTTGAATATTTGATGTGGCCACTATTATTTTTTACTAATGCTTGTAATCTTGATATTGTTCCCATTAGATTTGCACAATCATTGAAATGTTTTGTTTTTTTCACTCTGACATTATACAGTCTTTTAATTCTCTCTTATTGGATGGCACTGTGATTTTTCTTCTTACCAATTTGAGTATATTCTTTAAGAGCTTAATAGATTTAATCCTGGTGCCAGGTTTGATTAATTGAGAAATTTTATATTTTTCTGTTTTAGAAACTCTGTTGTCTTAGTGGAATGTTTTGCTTGGATATATGACTCATATGATACATATAATATACATATATTGGTACAGAGTTTCAATATTGAAGAATTTGTTATAAACAATACGTAATATCCATTTTGATTTTATAATGATACATATATGCTATTACAGGGTTTCAGTGTTGATTGTATAATATCTCACAAGAAATAAAGCTCTGGTATGTCTGTTTTGATATTTTCAAGATTTATTTATATTCATATGAGCAAAATATTCTCTGAGTTTAATTTATTTTAACACAGGCAGCCATGGTGATGGTACTTCACCAAGGAGAAGGCAAATTCTAATATGAAACGAACCTTTCTGACTTCATGAGAAGGCCTAAAAACCTAACTAAATATGATATTACTCATCATGTGGGTTACTGAGGGACACGTCCTTCAGTGACATACCATGTTGAAAAATCAGTTACTGGTGAGGAAAGGTTTATTCAGCTACTTAACCTATCAACTGGAAAATCAATGTTTAGTCAGTATCAAATAATTTCGGGGTGCACTATTTTAAAAGAAGAATGTAAAAATGCCCACCTTGATGTTGTATGTATGCAAGAGGTGCATTGATTTGATAGTGACTCCATTGCGCATTTGGGATACAACTTATTTTTGACTGACCACAAGGTGTTGTTATTGCGATATTCAAATTATCAGATACTATAATCGACAATATCATACACCAGTCAAAATAGCATTGTTGGTCATGACTGCAAGATCTGAGTGATAACATCTTATGTTCAAATGGAAAAAAGTGTTTCAGAAAAAGAGAAATTCTATATAGGATTCATTAAACTTTGTATATATTTTGAAAGAGGAGAGTAGAGCACATTGGACATGATCAGAATTAAATAGTGAACAAGGAATCTGAGAATTTGTTTAACATCTGCTCTCTTGGTTTATAGCAGTTTATGTTACGATTACAGACAAACACTGTAATAAGCATCGTGCCCCTACACTGCCTGCATTTCCTAATGGTAAGGAGATTAGGTCAAAAAAGAAAATAAAGATTATTTGTTATAAATTGAAATTAAATTAAATAAAAGTGTTGATCTTAGAAGCAAAACTATAAAATCTCCAAGACAATGTGGCAAAAGAAAGCAAGAAGAAAGGACTATTAAGAGAGAGAGAGAGAGAGAGAGAGAGAGAGAGAGAGAGAGCCCAAAGTGTAAGTTGAGAATTGGGGACATCAGTGCATATGGAAATTTAACAACTTGGGTATTGTAGTACCATATGAAAAAGATGCCTTCCAGAAACTAAGCAAAGTATTAAGAGAAGGGAAAATGTTGTTAGAAGCAATAAAAAAACAGTGTGGTAATATTTATTCTCCTATATGGAAGGGAAGGCTGAACATTTTCTTCATAGATGAAGAGTAGACTTTTTTATGCCCCATGTCCCTTCAGGACGTTAGCAATCATGAATCTCCACAATTTCCTTTGTAGTTCTTAGTAAATTGTTTCTTATTATCTGACCTAAAGCTTATTCCACCATCCATTTTCATAAGCTAGCTAGGTTCCTGTAAACACTAACTTGTTAGTGACTGTACAGCCTTGCTTGGGGTGGCACAGATTAAAAAAATTAAAAATAAAAGGTAGGTTATGTGCTTATCTCCTCTGTCTTTGCCTTCAATATTTTCTGTGAGTATGAAATTTTTCAAGCCTTCTTTCCCCATTATGTGTCCTAGAAATTGTCTCTTCCTGATGTTAAGTATAAGTGTCCTTTTTGTTTCCATTTTCTCTAAAACTTTGTCATTCCTCATATGTTTGGTCCATGGTATCCTCAGCATCCTTCTGTAGAACCACATTTCTATTTCTTCAAGTTTCTCATTCATCTATGAGTAGATTGTCCAGCACTCACTGCCAAACAGGAGGACAGATGATCACATAGCAGTTTAGTACGCTTTTCCTTGTTACTAGCAAAATGTTTCTATTTCTCAATACTCTCACTTAGCTTTTGGAATGAATATTTGGCTATGCCAATGTGCCTTCGGATTTCAGAGTCACACTTTCTGTCCTTTGTTAAAACACTTCCAAATTGTGGGTTGGTGAGGTTTTGAATTCAGTGTTGTCCTTCTCTTCAACAGGGTACCAATCAAGTCTATAGGACCCAGTCTCTCCTACTATTTATCCATAGCTGGGTGTGTGTGTGTGTGTGTGTGAAAGAGAAGGATTCATACACACACACACACACACATGGCAGAAGCTATTCACTTGTTTACAAGGATAACCCTCTTTGTACCATAACTGAGTGGGCATTTGATGCAGATGCCTGGTCATGGGCTCTGCAATTTGATATCCCTTCCTATGCCTGGTGAGTGTAGGCTTGTTCTTACATTGCTAATAACACAAAGGTACTTCCTGTTGATAACATTGCTAATGTTGCTAACATTTATATTGAAACTAATGTCCATGCACATGACTCTCCTCATGTGGAATTTTCTCCAGTTTGTAGCAAGCAGACATGGCTACATTCTTGGAGAGAGAGTATTTGAAGGTATTGGGAGTGTGGATATAGGAATCAACACTGCATGTTGACTGTCAGTTTAACATCTCAAATGATCTTCAGACCATACAGTGTTGATACCTATGTCCACACTGTATATATTTATACACACTTACACTCACACAGGACTTACAGTCATATCACATTGAAACACTGGTTCTCATACATTCACCAAAGTTAAACAAGATAGATGACCACTTGGGAGTACTAGTTGCTGTAAACTTGGGTGTGCAGGTGGTGCAATGGATAATTGGAAATTGAAGAGCCAAGTTCCAATTGCACTCAGATTTGTTATATCCACTTATACTCAAATACCCTTGGGAAAGGTATGAATCCAACTCCCCCAAGCTATGGGTTAAATAGTAGGAATTATATTAGTAAATCATTATTATCTCCCAAATAATTGCTAGAATACAAAAAAAGCTTATTTCTGGTTTTAAATATCCTGAATAAGGTTGATAATCTGTAAAAAAATCAATCAATCACATATACACAAACATACATACACAGACACACACACACACACACATGCACACACAGAGATTATTTTTAAAAAATGTAACACAAAATGAAAAGATAAAAGTAAGCCAGGTGTTAGAATTAACTCAAGAATGTTAGCGTTTCATTGATAAGATACCAAATTGTTTCCTGAGAAGATCCCTCTCATTTTTGGATCGTCTTTCAATGTTCCTTCTTTGTCTCTTCCCACAATTCCTTATTTGCTCTTTATTTTTATATTTTCTTTTGTTTTTAATCCCTCCATTCATTTTGCTCTTAACTTTTTCTCTCTTGGTTTTTTTCAATTTTTATCTTATTTTCTTTTCACTTTTTATGCCTCAACTTTTTTGTCCTATTTTCATTCTCGTCACTTTCTTCTTGTTTTCTTTGATCTCTTTCTTTTTTAAATTTTTCTTTCTTTTTTTGTTTTTCTTAATCTTTTCACACCTGTCATTTTTTTAAAACCTTTGCTATTTCCTTTTCTTTTCCTCCCTGAATGTTAATATTTACTTTTTGGCTGTTACTTTCTTTGAACTTTTCATTATTCGTGTGCTTCCATCATTTCTTTCTTTTTTCTCTACACCTTCTAGCAGTTAATAACTTTAAAACTTAGACTCTGTTGCTTTCCTTCTCTAGTCTTAGTTTATGGATTCAACCTGTTTCTGAGACAGTTATAGAGCAGCTTCTTTGTTCTTATCACTGTAGTCAACCATTACCTACATCACACTCTGGCTAATTGTGTCACATTAGAATGTCATAGTTGTCCCCAGGTCATATCACATGATTGGCTAATAACAGATTCTCTTGTGAAGCTTTTTCAAAATGGGAATTTATCAGCCAGTTGATAAGCAACATCTGCCCTTCATTTTCTTTTTAAAACTAAATCTACAATTTTGCTTTCTTCATACATCTTATTTCTCTTCTTTTTCATATTGACATTCTTTACTGCTTATAAGTTCCTACTGTTTTCTAAAAGAAATCCTTAAGAAATAACACTTACATACAAGGTGTTACAAAATTATGCACTCCTTAAGATGCAAACCGTTTCTATCAGATAATTTAAAAGATGAAAAAAAAAAAAAAGGCTGGGAAGAGAGGTGTGGGGAAATTCATTGATTTTTGTGGATTGAAGACTTAGAAAAATGATGAGAGCATGATTTAAAAAATCCTTCGATAAAAATGTTTACTTTCAGGAATTTAAACAAGAAATTAATTTTATTTATATTTGATGGTTAAAGTAGTAATGGCAATGGTAAGTGTGATAATAATGAACCTATAGCATCCTAGCCATTTCAATAATATATATTTCAATAATATCATAATATCATAATAATAATAATATCATAATAATAATAATATCATAGTATCATAATAATATCATAATAATATATTTCAATAATATATATATTATTTGAATACTATATAAAAGCTTGTTTAATTAGTAAAAATTTAGTTTTGCTAAATAAAGCTTAAGTTTGTATTTGGCCTTGTTTATTCATTACAGTAAGATTAACTTTCATTATAAGGAAACATGTGGGCAAATGAAATATGATCAATAAATAAAATACTAATAATGAATAATAAAAAAAGAAATACATTTTTCTATGATGCTAGTAATAAAGGAACTGGAAATTTTATTAACCCACTTGACTTCTTCAAACACCTGTTATGCTACACTGTTTAAGTCTATAAAAAAAAAAAAATTCCTTTCTCCTCTCTCTCTTTTTCCCTTTTGCTCCAAAATATAGCAACACATGGGAAAAGACGTTCCATGATATGTGCATGTGTATTCCAAAATTTCTACTTATTATGTCAATCAACCTTTCCTTTTGTCATTCCCACTCAGAACAAAGCTGACTTGAGCTTGACCATTACAATGATATTGACCCTCTAATGATGAAGGAAGTAGAAATTTTTCTTTGGTCATTCCAACCCTCCACAAGGTTGACTTGAGCTCGACCATTATAATGATGCTTATCCTAACTTCTGGACCAGAAAAGAAGACAAAAATACCCAAGGGACATTGAGAATGTTGCTTCATTACAGTTTATATAAAAAAAGAATTGCAAAGAAATGGAAGTAATTCTTTAACAGAGTATTTAAACCATTTTTAATATGTTCGCAACATTCTACTAATATCAGAATCGTCGTATAAATGAAAAGAAATGCTAAAATAAATAGAGAAAATCTGAATGTATGCTTTAAAGTGAATGGAAAACAAAAATAAAAGTAATTTTCAATTGTAATGTTCCAGGAATAATCCTAAGGATAGGGGATAAGGAACAAGAAAACACATGCTAATCCTCAATGAATCAATTGCATCTGCAATAAGGTAATCCTCCTGTTAGTCTGAATATTGACACCTGAACAAATGAAACATTTTCAATATGGCTGCCAGCAGTTTATAGAAGCCACCACCTGGTGGTACTAAACAACAACCAAAAGGCAAGGGTAATAACTACAACATTAATACATGCTCCATTTCTTCAGAGACATGCAAAGTACATAACAACAAAAGCAACAAAGAAATTTTATAAGATCTAAGTCAAATATCATAATATGTTGAAGAATCTTGGATGAGGGAACACCTCGCCTGGTAAGTGAGTTAGCTATTTAGTGATTTGTAGGCACCCATTTAATGTCAAACAATTCTTTATTGATTTATATTTCATTGAATTTTTTGCTTAAAAGTAAAGATATTTCAAATTCAACAACATCAGTAGTTATTTCTGACCTCATATTTCCAATCAAACAGGGAATAATCAATTTCTTTGCAGATTCTACTGTCACACCATCACTAAAAGAAAATGTAGAAGCAGATGCTTATTCCACAATTAAAGACTGCTCATAATCACTTAATGAATTTAAATATTCATGAAGCCAGCCTTTACAAAAGACAGTGGTTGAACATCCTGTGTCCAAAATAGCTTCACATCTTTCACCAGGGACTGAAACCTTGTACTATTCATACAACCCACAAACAAGGACAACAGAACATTTTCTGATGTATTCTTTTGCAGATATTCATCACTGTTCTGATATGCATGAGGACATTCATATGTCCAATTAAATTTAGAGTTACATATGACACATCTTGAAATCTGCTCACCATGACCCACAGGATATGATTGTATCGGAAGTTGCTTGGTTGAAGTGCAACCACTCTGGGTGGCAAGAGTATATGGTTGAC